AAAAATAAAAAAGTGATAATGTAAAATTATGTATTAAGATAAATACAAAAAAATCTCACAAGAATCACATATAAATTATAAAATGCAATTTTAAAAAAATATAAGAGATTGTATCGTTAATTCTAAATCAGAGAGTACATTTTATATAATTGTGTATATGATTACTATGCCACAACCTTATTACTTTACATTTGTAGGTAATTTCACAAATTTATCATTATAAAATATCTATAATACTTATATATTAAAAATATTTCATTATAAAAATGAAAAATAGTTCTAAATTATAAAATGAAGGAAATGTCTTATTCTTATATTTATATTGATTGGTGTAAATAATTTCCATGCTATTGAGACAAAGCGTGCTATTCTCTCTTATTTCAAGTTAAGTTCCTTTATTTTATTGAGACCATTTTTAGTTTATGCATCAAATATCTCAAAAAGCATGTGGAGTTATTTTGGAAAAATAATGACAACGTACATATTATTTTTAAGGGAAAGTGAGATTATGATCATTCGATCAGTTCTTCCATAGACTATAACAACTAGCTAGCCAAATCGAAGTTATTTTGTACTAAGCTATGAGTTTATTCACATTTCTCTTTACAATGCATTGCCTAGTTCTCTACCCTAGGGCCGATTTAATGAGTATGCTACTTAGACCACATTCCAAGATTATATTCTGGTGTATGTGCATGCATGTTGTGCACGCACTTGATCATTGCCTTTACCAAATTTCCTAATAACTAAAGGATTGTTCAAGATACTAATTAATCAAACCCATATTTTATCTTTAGAAAAGTAACTTAATTGACAAATGCCAACTTAAATAAAGGTTGCTAGCTTAACACTCCTTAAACCTTATCGGAAAGTAGTACAGTACAATATTAACCTAATTGAATGACCTGTATAGTTCTTAATTCTTCATGTTTTAAGCTAAGCAACTTTTTATCATATAACCCTTGTAAGTGGGTGAAATCATATCTTAATTTCATTAATACTTATTTAGGTATACCCAACATTGTATACCCTGCCATTTGGAGCAATATTATCCATCCACAACCTTAATAAATTATTTCTGCATAATTTTTGCATAAAGCTCTTTTTCTAATATATATTTTTTATATATATATATCATTATATTAATGTATGATACACTGCACCAAATTTAAGAATTAATTAATTTAGCAACTTATTTAAAATAAATAAAATTGTAAGAGCATACTTGTAGTATATTACAATCAGAAATACATTCTGAGGTGTATAAAAGATGGTAACAGCAACCTGCCACGTGTAGCAAAATAGACCACAACACCAATAAAAAAATTTAATAAAAATTGGGTAAATTTCTTTTTCATGTTAATGTATGATTAAATCAATAGAATTTATTAATTAATTAGTTAGTTAATAATTCTGTAAAAAATATAAATGGAGTATTACTTTTACGTTTAGTTAAGTTTATAGCTGAATCTTGCGCTAGATCCTATGAAAAACCTTTTAACACGCGATGTCTCGAATTTCTTCATACAACCAAAAATAAGACAATGATGTAAGATTATGTATGTCAGTATGTGACATCTCCTAATTTTATTTTTTAATAGAATATTAAAAAGTGACAACCCTCACTTTTAGGACTAATTTTTGGCCATTTATTGTCTTTCTTGGTGATTACTACATTTATTTTTATTGTTCTTACTTCATTAATATTCAATTGGTTCTTTTTGTTATTTTATATAGCCTTTAATTAATTTATATGTTCTTTTCAATGAACAATAATAGATCAAAAGGGGGTCCTTTTGATTAGGTTCATTAAGTTATTGGGTACTAACTTTTCAAGAGAGACATCTTTATAGGTGTGTTATGGTTTCAAACCACCTTATATGACCCCAGGAGTCACCCCACGCATTCAGTTCATTTTTTAAAAAAATATCAAAAATTGATCCACAATCATGTATTATAGCATTCAATTATGGACAATTTTTCACTTTTTTGGACCCGGAAACCTAAATTGCCAGATGCATCCCATGGACCCTAATACACCTTGGGAGCGCATTTGGGTGGATAACACCATCCAATATGCCTTTAAACTGTCAATTTATCCGTTTACAACTTGCACCGATTTCATAAGCTCGAGGCTAATACGGACATTTATGACAACATATAATTATCATATATGGTTCCAAACGACATTACATGACCCCGGGATGTATCCCCTAATATCTTGAGACTTTTTGACACCTGGTCCCGAAACCTCAGAATTTTGCCAAAAAGCGTTTATTATAGCCTTCAATTTTCGAATTTTTTTGATCTGGAAACAAAAATTGCCAAGAAGCTACCTATAGACCCTAATACCCCCTGGGAGTCCAATTGGGTGGGAGGGACCATCCAATTTTCCTTTAAGCATCCAATTGACCCGTTTTCGTACACGCCTCTTGTATTGGCTATAAGCTTTCATGGGGCCTTTATGTAGCCGAATTATGGTCGTATATGAGTCCAAACAACATTATATGACCCTGGGATACATCCCGTAGAATTCCTTGAATTTCTGACACTGGGTCCCGACACCTCCTAAATTGCTCCGATTTCGTGTATTATAACCTTCAAATTTGGCTTCCGTTCACCATTTTTTCACCCGGCAAGATTATGCATCTAGGTACTTTCATGGGTTCCCAAAGGGTCTTGTGAGTCATGGATAGTGCCCGGAACCATCTCATTCATCCTTAATCATCAAAAAATTGTATATAACTAGTAATATAATTTATTACAAAATACAAATAGAGGAGGGGGAATTTGAACATGTGACCTATATATCGTAAACAAACTTTAATAATATATACACCGATTTGATTGTAATCATAGATAAATTTAAGGATAGGATTCACTCATATATGTTAATGTCTTTTTCAAATATATTAAGGATGTTAATTGCTTACTAATATTAGTATATTGCAAAGAAACTTGGACGGTTGGTTAAGGAAGATTGTAATGATTATGGAAGATTATTTTTGTGTTTTTCTTTTTTGGTCTCTATGATGTGGTAGGACCACTCCAGGAGCTTGTTTGTTGAATTGAAGGATGAGCCATAACTAAGTTGTTACAAACTCTCCACTTTGTCTACTTAGATGGTAATTAAACTACATTTTTTTCTAACAAATAAATGGGAATCCAAAGTTTAAATTTGGAAGTGTGTTATCAAACATATAGCTGCACAAGTATCAAGTTATAACATAATCAATCATCTTTGTTCGTATAATTATATAATACACTTGAAAGCATAGGTTAATAATAGCGTGCATAATATAAGGATTAAGTGTAAAGAGAGATCAAAGACAAAATATTTATGGTTAAACTTATGCTTTGTATAGTGTTACTGTAAAATTTATAATTGTACATGAATTAGAGCTCAATTTTAATTTATTAAGAACAATTGACCGACCAATATATTGTAGATGTCTTATCACAAAATAGAACGAAAAAAAAAGGTCAAACCCTAGGTAATTAGAGAAATAGTGCCAAATCAAATCTAGAGGCCCACGAAATTAGTGACGAACCGGCCAGATGAAGATATCTTGACATACCATGAATTTGACAAAATAAATAAATAAATAATAATAGTAGTAATATTTGGCATAATAATATATTAATTGTGAAATAATGATAGTTTACTATTACGCGCACTATCTTGTTACTTGAGCAAACATGAAATGATTTCCATTAATCAAAACTCGTTTTCTTATAACGGAAAGTGCATTTGAATGCTAGTGATGATGCTTCCTCAAAAATGCGGCGGTCATAATCTCTTCAACAAATTTGTAAAACTCAACAATAATGTGTTTAGTTTTTGAATTGGTAGAGATTGATCCGAGACTCGAAATCAACCCCAACTGAAAATAAGTAATTTCTTTTTGATGAAAACTAAACATAAATGTCTTCACATGTTTATAAATAATGTTAACCAAATTAATTTTACATTGGTTAGGATACACATCCAAATAATAAACTCCATTTGTTTCATGATACAATTGAATATACAATTATACAATATTGCGCTATGCTTTAATTAAAAGGTTCTAGATATTGAAACTTATATTGAAGCAAATAAAAAGATTTAGGAAATGACATAATCCATTACTTCATGTGATCACAATAATATTGAAGGCGCACAGAAACATGATTCTTAGGCATAAATTACAAAAGAAACTTGTTCTACAAAACATTTAAGATCGAGTAAATATTATTGTCTCTCCATCTTGTAATTGTTGCCTCTCTTAATAATTTATAACTTTTTAAATGTTGTACATCCACTCTTGAAAATTAAAGATATTACACTCTGATCTTTAATTTTCTCTGGATCGCCATTAGTAAATGAGCTTTTTTATTAAAAAAAAAAAATTAAGCGTAACTTGTTTTTTAGAGGAAAACAAATTCATTTGCCATGGATTTTATCTAAACTGGTTTTTTTTTTTACAATGGATAAAATTGTCAAGAAAAATTCTTGAAAAAGGTAAAATAAGGATGACTAATATATAAGTCTGATGAGTTTACAAATAGTTTCATATAATTTGGGACACTCTGTAAGTAAGTAATTTGAACAAATAGTTTCAAATAATTTCGCTTTATGATACAAAGGGAATAATACAAATCTCTATCAAAGAATGATATTATTTGTCACTTTAAGATTCAAATTGTAAAAAATTAAATGAATAATACCACTAACACTTTTCTTATATATTTTTCAAGGTTGATAGTAACAAATATGGATAAAGGATTAAGACATAGGCCAAGAGGGTACGGTACCTAATAAAATACTTAAAATTAGACCAACCTTTCGAAGTATAGTAGATGACAAACCCAAAATCCAGGGCAAAAGAAGGTTTTATAACTTCTCTTGGACTCATATGAGGTAATGTCTACAAAACATAGAGAAAATAACATTAAAAATATATTTATGAAGATGACAAAATTACTAATCATTAGTTGCATGATGTGGACAGGCCAGGTAAGAATATCTGACATGTCCTCCACGTGGCTATCGACCGAGGGTGACAAGTAAGCAAAGGGCGGCGCACCAAACAGACAACAAGAGTTGGAACATATACTGTTTGTTAATGAAATAAGAGAGAGGGGGGGGGGGGGGGGTGGCCAAAAGGAGAAGAAACTATTGGATAGTGTAAAGTTTAGTTTTTTTTTTTTTTTTTTTTTTTTTTTTTTTTTTTCTTTTTAATCCATTTTAACCTTTATTTCAAGGGTTTTACTGTTAAGATAACATAGGATACATAGATGTTGATTTATATTAAAGGTAATTGAGGTGTAAGTCTTATCGAGTCAGAACCTCACACAGGTTAATATAATGCGAGTTAACAGGACATGTCCATTATTAATTAGAAGGGGTGTGGGGCGAGGGAGCTGAGGGTATGGTTGGGTATGTAAGAGAATTTTTTTCCCAGGGATATAATGTTTAATGTAGTTTAATAGTTGTGAGATGCAAATCTTTCCACTAAGTTATACTCTATCCGGTAACGTAAAATGTTGACAGGAGGGAGTTTATGTATATAACTATATAAGAGAAAGGATGTATAGTCTTGAAACACAAAATTTACGGTGGAAGTTAAAAGAAAGGCAATTTGGAGAGAGAGAGAGAGAGAGAGAAAAAGGGGGGTGGCGTGAAAAAGATTAGGGTGAGACGCCGTCCAAAATATATAAGTAAAAGGCTTAGAGTAATCTGCTAACCCCATGCGTAATTGATAACTACACCTCATCTCTTTCACCTTCCTCTTTTTTACTACTTACAAACCTATCCTCCACGTTTATATATATATATATACATTGTTCTTTTTCTCCAAGACATATTTTTATTCATCATCTCTAAGCTAAGCTTGCTAGCTAGGTACCTTGCTCTCACATATATTGATCAAGTCGGAATAACGGAGTTAATTAGATCATCATAATCATTCACCGCGATTCAAATAGAGAAGAGGAGGAGGAAGAAGACAAGATTACTCTAAGCTAGGACAACATATACAAATTTCATTCAATTCTTTGGTTAGTTCTCATTTCTTAATTACTTAATAACTATTCTTAATTAGCTTTGTTCTTTTCTTAGTTAGTCCTTCGAGGGTATTAAGTTGATCATTTCTTAGCTTAGCATGATACTCTTGGGATCGGAATAGAAAGATCTAATCAAGGATGGAGATTAGATTATATAATATGGTGTGTTAAATTCAATTGATGATACTCATTAGTCATTGAGTCAATAAGAAGCATTTGGTTATGAATTACCATTATTAACGATAGTAAGATACTCCATATTAGAGATATAGTAAACATTTAACTTTTGAAATACTGTTTTGGCTAAGTGACGCTTTAAAATTGGTGATAGCTAAAGTAAAATGATCCTCCGTATATGTATAAGGTTTACTTAATTACTAGTTTCTTTAATTTGTAAGGTTTTGAAATTTGAATTGTATGAAAACGGAGTGAGTTTCAGTATGTGTTTTAGTTAGGATCATTTCCAATTAATAGACCAACAAAACCTATTGAGTGGGATTGGGGTAATTTTTCAAGTTTGTTTTAATAGCAATATACATACATTTACGTCTAGTAGTTTGATACGGCCTTCACTACTTGGTAATACATAACATAAACCTTTTCATTGTTCACACTTGACCACTTTGCTAAGTTACTTATTACAGTTTGTATATGTTAAGCAGATACGAATATAAGATATATAGCATATTTGTATTGATTCAAAGTTTAGAGACAATTATCTTTAATACCCAAGAAATAACTAAATGTACTTTGTCGCGATAATATAATTTAGACGAAAAATACTTCATACTTTATTGTCGAACAATCTTATGTAGATTTTTATTGGTGCACTGCATGGCTCAAACTAGATTACAGTAATTATTTTTGACATTGACTTATACACATACGATAGATTTTTGAAAGAGAAAGGTGGTGGGTATATGATGTATATGTATGTATATATGAATATTATGGTAATAATAAAGATATACTAAACAAATAAAAATAAAAATAAAAATTAAAGCTATTATTGGCAGCGTATATGAATGTAGTGCACTCTACTCAAAAGACAACTCAACGTGCGTGCTTAATGCTTCAGTGTTTCTGCCAAAGTCAATATTTTCGGCTTCTTCCTTTTTCTTTGTTTTTTCTTCCTTTTTTATTTTTATTTTTTTATTTTTTATTTTTTATTTTTTTAACCCTCATGCATATACTACTCTACTTGAATAAAATTCAATCCTCCAAAATATAATTTATTTCAAAGATATATTATTTATTTTTTAATTGGTAGGTCATACAAATTTGTTGATTGGCTATAAACTTAGGTATAGGACCATTATAATGAATTTGGTCCACTGAAAGTGCATTTATAACCAAAATGCATATGATATCATGATTGTATATTTACCATGCATGAGAATTTCATGTGTTGCAATAGTTCTTTCCACTTTCTTAAGGTCAAGCTAAGCATGTTGTCCTATTTTATCTTATGCCTTTTTTATAGTTAGTTTAATTTATATACGAAGTATAATATAGATTGTATGATAAACGAATTAAATTTGCATGCCTTGAATAATTTTATATAACATGTATTGGCATGGAGCATCTTCATGATTCATTTATATATATATATAGACATATATGAGGCCGAATTCAGGAATTATTATTTGATAGGGCTATTTTAAAAAGTAAATAACTTGATGTACAATACGATTTATATATTTTTATCATATATTGATCCTATTGTATAGGATATGAGACTATTAGTGTGTTTCTATTTATGGAGTATTATTTATTTAGAACTTATTATAAGCAAAATGCTGTTTTACTTTATTATAGTAGTAGTAATATATATTGGTGCAATGTAATTATTAATTATATTTTGGATTTGATTTACAGAAGAGGAAATGAATCATACCGAATTATGTGTTCCACCGGGATTTAGATTTCATCCCACAGAAGAAGAATTAGTGGGGTACTATCTCAAGGGAAAGGTCAACTCCCTCAAATTCGATCGAGATGTCATCATTGAAATTGATCTTTACAGGATGGAACCTTGGGACATCCAAGGTATGTATTGACTTCCTATATACTCTTAATATATATGTTACAATCGTCTATTCGTGTCACATGTTCTCCTTCTGTTCTTTTCTGTTTTACTTACGTTTAGCGAAATTATTCGTATATGTGACATTATTCAATTATGTATTAGGATAGGATAGACAGAAGTCCAGAACTATCTTAAATTTATTTTATGAGTCTATTAGATACAAAAATGGTCTACTATTCTTTTAGCAAAGTATAAGAAGTACAACTTAGTGTTGGGACTCTCAATGTTAATCACTACTGTATGTTCATTTGCGTAGTCATTTAAAGTTAATTCATGTTAGAAATAAAGTAATAGTATGTAGTACCTTTGATCACAGTGTTTCATTTAGACCGTTATTTTTTGGTGCAGATAAATGCAAGTTGGGATATGATGAACGTAATGAATGGTACTTCTTCAGCCACAAAGACAGGAAGTACCCTACCGGATCTCGTACAAACAGGGCCACGGCAGCCGGATTTTGGAAGGCTACAGGGAGAGATAAGGCGGTGTTATCCAAGAATAACATCATAGGGATGAGAAAGACCCTTGTCTTCTATAAAGGACGTGCCCCTAATGGCAGGAAAACTGATTGGATCATGCATGAATATCGTCTTCAAACTTCGGAACATGCTCCTCCTCAGGCAAGTCCTTGTGATTTTTATTGCTTAGCAAAAATTACATTATATGACTTACTTACTACGTAACGTATAATTTAATAACCTACCATAGGTATTAGGTAAAAATATGTACATACATATATTAAAAAGTAGTCGCATTTATTGATCTTTATAAATTAATAGTAGTGGTTTCTATGTAAATTATTTCATGCATTTGGGAATACCCAAGATGATGCACTGAGTTTAATATGTGCACAATATTCATATCAAGTTGTGCACATGTTGGACTTGGAGCTAACACAATTCTATGTATGAACTCCTAGGTGCAACAATATACGCGTTAATAAAAGTAGTTACATTTAAATTCCTTGAGATAAGTACGTACTATACTGAGTATGGCTAATAAAAAGAGGATTGAATGTTGCAGGAAGAAGGATGGGTGGTATGCCGAGCATTCAAGAAACCAAGTCCAAGTCACAAGCAAGGATTTGAAGCATGGAGTCATCATCAAAATCAGTACTACTACATGAGAAGTAACAACTATGATAGACACATTGGTTCTCCATCAATTCCTGATACATCAAGCCCTAATACCGATCCATCCGATTCTATAAACCAATGTCACACAAACTTCCACAACCCGCAATCACAACCTATGCAGCAGCTTCCTTACACTAATTTCAACCCGGAATTGATCATCGAAAACCAACTGATCATCGACCTCCCTCGATTGGATAGTCCGTCTCTTTCGACAAGCTTTGCAACAAAAGAAGCATATGAACATCATCAACAAAGTGGTGGAATAGTTAACGAGGAACATCATCATAATGACCATGAGCGTAGCAACAAGTGGGAAATATTGGATAATTTGCTAGGAAATTCATCATCATTTTCAAATAATGATCTACCAAACATGCACTTAGTCCCTCATGATTATGAACTAGAGGTTCAGAATCAACTTGGAAGTTTTCTCGAATGCTTTCCGAACTTATAGCAAAGCTCAATTCATCCATAATATTTCAACTACCAACAAAAAAAAAAGGAAAAAACAAAAAACAAATATATTGATATAAATATATACTGTGTTTTAGACAAATTTTCAAGTGTGTTTCAAAAAAAAAAAAAAAAAAAAAAAAGACAAAATTTCATGTGCATGTTAATAAGGCATGCTATATATTATTCCAAATGTAACTTCTCTTTCTACCTTTTTTTTTTTTTTTTTTTTTTTTACTAATTGTATTCTCATGTAAAGTTAATTAGTAGGGTTTATTGAACTCATCAAACCCCTAAATTTATCCAAGTTTCTAATGTGATTAGTAAAATGGCTTACGTGCTATGCTAATAATCGATGCGCACATATATCTAAACTGCAATTTCTATCTTACTCCTGCAATATCATGTACAATGTACTCTAAATTTATAAATTTATGTTATTTTGATGTGAACTTTTTATTATTTCAATTTATATATATGTTATTTTTAAAATAAGTACATGTTATTTTATACTTGCATGCTTTTTTTTATATTCAACATAAATCATTTCACTGCACTCCAGGTTTATAAAATTCATGTTATTTTGATATAAAGTTTGTATTTTTTTCAATTTATATATATGTTATTTTTAAATAAGTACATGTTATTTTATACTTGCACTGTCTTTTTTATACGTGTTGTTGAAGTAAATAAGTAAATAATATTTTGTTTTAGCAAAATAACACAAGATTTAAGCAAAATAACACAAGGTTTAGGCAAAATAACTCAATTATAATTGTTTCGGAGTACCATAATCCAGGAGTATATAATACTAACTCCTCTATCGTAGTTATCCTTAAAATGATTATCATTATACTAATTAATTTTTATTGGCTGATTTTTTTATTTATTTTATGTCAAAAATAATTACATCTTTATTGCACTGATACGATGATATAATGAATCAATAGGTTTACTAATAAAATTATGGAAAATAATCCAACTATAAATTTTACTCAAATAATATGAACTATTTTTTTTTTTTGAAACAAATCAATTCATTAATAAAAACCATCCGACATCTAGAAATGAAATCTACATTAACAAATACATAAAATTGAATCAAACTAAAGTTTCCTTCATCAAAGCTACGATCATTAAAAAGATCTTGCACTGTGGTACATCTCTCGCACACATCGCTAAAATATACACCTTTTTGGAGAGACGGTCTAACAATTTGTTGTAGCCGTAAGGATGATTTTCATCTGGTTCGCTTGAACGCATTTGAAAACTTAACAATCGTTGCGATCCCAAACAAATCTTTACCAAACAAACACTAAACATACAAACAAACACTGACAATAGGGCAAAAGATGATTACCTTTTTGATACCCTAACACACAAACAAACACTGAACATAAACAAACAACTAAACTAACAAAAACTAACGACTCCACCATAAGGAGACACTCCACCATAGGGAGACGGACGAATATCTACACTACTAGTGTGGATTTTTTGCAACCTAAATTGCAAAACTAAAGAAAATTAAGGGAAAAGGGTCGGAAATAGTCTAACTTCCGAAGAAATTGGACTATTTCCGACCTAAACGGGTAAGATTTTAGAGAAACCCTAGAAGAGAGGAGGAGAGAAGAGGAGAGGAGAGGCGAGTGTGTACTTTTGTTTTTTTAAATAATATGAACTACTTGTATCAACAGAATTGTGCAAAACTTTGGAATTATTTGTGAATTTTGGGCAATAGTAGTTTTATGGTAATTAGCAACTTTTTTCCAAAAATTCTACAATGGTCATCCTTAAAATGACTACTTCTATTCTTAATTCTTATTGGTTGATTTTTTATTTATTTTTATGCTTGGTCAAACTTCTTTTTTTATATTTTTCTTTTGTTAAATCATTATTTTATGCTCAAAAATTATTTTATGATTTTGGGTTTTTTTTATTTATTTATTTTCATAATCATTATTAAAATCAGTTTTTAATAAGTTCAAGAATAAAGATTAAATTAAGGAGATCAAAATCAAAATTTTGTTCTTCATTTTTTTCTAATGTTCTTCCTTCATGGATGAAATTTGCTACCATTATTGTAAATTTGTAATCTTTGTCCTGTATAAACACTCACACATCAATGAAAATTGAAAATATGCATCGATCTACATATTATATGTGAAGTTTGAGTTTGATCGATATTGGGATTCATGTGCGAATATGGGTTTGTTTTTAATCCTATAATAATATATGTTAATTGAACAATCGCAATCAAGGAACACAAAATTGACCATTATATGTATGCGAAAATAAAAACTTATCAAATTTTCGAAATCTGGAAAAAAGATGTAATTTTAATTTCTGTTTGTATATAAGTCATTAACCCAAATACTAATAGGACATTACCTATAAAACACAGTATTATTGTTTATTTTTTCTACGACCGTATGTTATTTTGGACATTGCTAATTATTAGTTTATAATGCATTAGTATCTTGATATACTTCTTAATTGATAGCAAATAGGATTGTGGTCCTCACTAGCCAAGTCACAATGTATGTTTACCAGCTTTGATATCAACGATCACTTATATATCTACTATTGTGGTTTGATTTTAGTATGTATATACCTCAAAATTAAATCAACTCTCAATCAAACCACTTTTAAAGCGATCTAATGACAACCTAATTGTCAAGTTAGATGCTTATCTTTGTATTTATCGTGTGACATAGTGGTTGGATACTAGTTTATTATTAATTAAAATATTTAACCATCTTTTGTTTATTATTATAGTTTTACAATTAAGGAGAGTAGGACCAGTTCTAAATATATTAGTAATGTCATATCCTAGTATTGGACAAATCCTATATAATAACCAATGGTTAGCTTAGTCGCTTAGGTACTACGAGTATTAGTTTTTATTTTAATTTATAATCTATATTTATGTGTCATAAAAAATAATGGAGGTAGCCAGGTAGGACAACACTATTGTATATTGTTATGATATTTTTGTAAATTTTTTTTTTTTAACAAATCAATTCATTAATCAAAAGCCATACGACATCTACAAATGAAATCTAAATCAACAAATACATGAAATTGAGTCAAACTAAAGTTTCCTTCATCAAAGCTACGGTCGTTGAAAAGATCTTGCACTATGGTACATCTCTCGCACACATCGCTGGAATATACCACCTTTTCGGAGAGACGGTCTAAGGATTTGTTGTAGCCGTAAGGATGATTTTCATCTGATTCACTTGAACGTATTTAAAAATTTGACAACCGTTGCGATCCCGGACAACTCTTTACCAACGAATTGACAATAGGGCAAAAGATGATTACCTTTTTGATAAACCGTAATACACATAAAAACCTTAAACAAAAACAAACAACTAAACTAACAAAGACTAACGCCTCCACCATAGGGAGACACTCCACCATAGGGAGACAAACGAGCTATACTACTTGTAGATTTATTGAAATCGAAATTGCAAAACTATAGAAAAGTTAGGGGAAAAGGGTCAAAAATAGTCTAATTTCTTCGGAAAATAGATTATTTCCGGCCTAAACGGCTAAAAAATTTAGAAAACCCAGCCTAAAAAAAGGAAAAGAGGAGGAGAGGAGGATTGATATATTTGTAAATAATATTTTTGTATTTTGTGTGTAATTGGTTACCGTAATTGTAGCCTAGGATAGCTTTAGTCTAGCTGTATATTTGTTACCCAATACATTTCCTTTTTTATTGGACAATTATTAAAGGTTTTTTCAATTATTACTGAAATGGTTCCTTAAAATTTAAATAATCTTTCTCAAATTAAAAGATATTGTGTTCATAATATTTTTAAAAATAATTATATTAGATTTGTATAAATCTTTGTTCGTACTTTCTAATAATTGACAATGTTCAAAATGATATAACTGTGTGTTACATGTAATGTCCTATTAAAAGTTAGGCTAATTCCTTATACACAAACAAGATTTATAATTCCAGGCCATCTTCGTTTTTTGGATAAAAAAGGTTTTTAAAACAAAATATATGGTTTCTTCTCCAATTTGTCTCACGAATCCAAATTTTCGGAAAATTGATAAATTATTTATTTAATTTTTTTTTTCCATATAATGGCCAATTTTGCATCGCTTGATTGTAATTGTCCAATTAACATATATTGTTTTAGGATTTTACATGAACCCAAATTCGCATAAATGTTGACTTCGAACGACTTCAAATTTCACATATTATATGTAGATCGATGCATACTTTCAATCTTCATTGATGTGCGAGTGTATTATAGGACAAAGATTATGATGGTGGTGGTTATTTTCATCCATTGATGAAGAATATTGAAGAACTTTGAAAAATATTGAAGAACATTGAAAAACAATAATTTATTTTTTATTATCATAATGTAATCGTTTTATTTGATTTTATTAGAAACTGATTTTAATAACATACATAATATTGCAATTAAATAAAAGTTTTTCTGTTTTTCAAATGGAGGAAATAATTTCGAAAAAAAAAAAATGAATTAAAAAGAAAAACAAAATTAAAAACAAAAGTTTGACCAAGCATAAAAATAAATAAAAAAAATCAACCAATAAGAATTAAGAGTAGTGATAGTCATTTTAAGAATGATCACCTTAAAATCATCCAACTTTTTTAGGGTAGAATTGGGGGCCTTATTTTTGTGATTGACAAATTTTTCAATTTAAACAACGCATTTTCTGCGTGGCTGGCCACGTTGTGTGGCCGATTGACACGCACAAAACACTGACCAAGACCCCTGTCCGAGTAGCCTCTAACTGAGCAATCCCTGCCTTGATCGAGTAACCCTTGACTGACTTAATAACTTCTAACCGGTCGAGGACCCCTAACAAAGTAACCTAGGCCATACGGTGCTATTAACAAATGTTATACAAAATTTAAGTTTGAACTTATTCTGCCTCCAAGTCACTTGTTCCTCAAGACCTCGATTTCACATAAATATAGGAATATAGTACAAATGATGGCTTTGATCATTGAATTATATATGGGCACTGGCCGTTGGCGGAGCTAGGATTATCATCACGGGGGACGGATTAAGAAAGTCGTGCTATAATTTGACAAAAATCCTTAAACAATTTGATTTATATTGAGATATATATTAATAAGATCAAATACCTTTGCTCAAAATCATCACTGTTATAATCAATAATATAGGGTAGCAATTTGAGCAATTATTTAAAAAGTTATATAAATTGCTAAGATAATTTAATTAGAAGTTAGAACATGATTTCGTTCATTAAATAGTACTACTTCTAGTTGAATCTAATGGAAAAAAAAAAAAAAAACATATCTCTTTAGGTTTAAAAATCAATCGCCAAATAAGTTAATTAACGAATGAGATTTGAGAGTGTAATTCAAGTGTTAGGTAAAATAAATAAAAAAAGTTACAGAGTATTTCTTAAAATAAATTATTTAAGAG